TTTATTACTAAGTAATTTAATCTCATTAGCGCAGCGTAATCCGTGACAGCTTCACCAATGGTAGAGAACTGGACTTTACAGATCGAACTCATGAGAATTGTTAAAACTTCATCTATTTGTATGATTTACCAAGATTGTATCGATTTTTCACTACCGAAAACAGTCCAGTTTATATCATCCAGAAGATCAAGTGCGGTACATAGGTAATATAGAGTGTCCATGCGCATGCAGCAGTGGAAATGGTATTCTCATATTGATTTGCCCAGTAGCGGGAACATGTTTACTAGAAAATTAGACGGGTGGTCAATGTTTACCCAGTGGCAAGTAAATGTTTACTAGAAAATTAGACGGTTGGTCAATGTTTACCCAGTGGCAAGTAAATGTTTACTTGTTGATCGGGGGTCAATTTTTACCCCGTGGAAAGTAAATGTTTACTTGTTGGCAAGTAAATGTTTACTTGTTGACGGATATTTGGACTGGACAGGCGGAGTGCTGTGATAGGTTGCAATACTTTGAGTTTTTCAAGAAATTCAATGGCTTCTTTTGCCCCTACTGTAATTGAGTTTATTGAGAATTGTATTAAAATCACGGTGCATATCGCGTATGATAAAAAACTTTATTTACAACCAGGGAGAACCCGTTTGAAATTTTGGACTACGTGTCCTTGTACTTACAGGAGTCGCGCAGCTTCTTTTGCGCAGGCATCATAAGAAGTCTTTCATCAAAATACTATTTACTATTGAGTCAGAAATGTAAATATAAACAAGTAGGCCGCCCCGCAGACTGTCCTGATTCCAAGTCATAAGGTGACGGTATATAACGATATTGACGAGGGGGAGAACCTTCATCATATCTTATTGCTTTCAGAAGGTCTGGAGGGACTAGCCAAGTCAATCGCATTGCCTGCCGAAGTAGCTTCGGGATCCTTCATGTCACTGTGACTAGAGGCCTCGCTCAAGTTGGTGTGATTTTCCATTTCTGTACTAACGCTGCTGATGCTGCTGCTTTCTTGATGTGTAGGAGGTTTGACTATTTCGGCATTATGTCTATTTTCGTGCTGAGTTTCCTTCCCCGCACTAGCAATGTGTGTCTCCGTGATAGAGCCATTAAGTCCAGTGGGGCTTGGTTGTCGCATGTTCCTGTCAAACCAATCCTCATATTCATCAAAAACCTCGTTCATCTTGTTGTCGCCGCGGATTTCATTCTTAATCGCTCGAATATCAACCTTGGACGTCTTGAAGCCCTGCAGCACGGTCTGTCCAAGTTGCAGACTCGTCTCAAAGTTTTCCGGGTACATCGCCCTCGCTCCTTTCCGGAGAAAATCTCTTTGCTGCTTGAGATCCTTGGCGCGGATATAAACGGGTCTGTCTGGAAACGCGTTTCGAACAGCACTCAACACACCGTCAACCAGCTCTCCCTCTGTGTGGGTTATGACAAAGGCCTCGGGCATGGGCAGACCGTTTGCCTCCAAGAACTCAGTGGGACGCTGGCTGTCACCGAAAATAACCGGTCGGTTTGACGCCAAGGCCCTCTCAACTCTTTGCATGTCGTTTTCGACCGCCACCCATCGAATGAACTTCCGTGACAACATTCTGCCGACTACCCTGCCCACCGGCCCGTAACCGAATATTAATACAAAATTGTCGTCATCAGAGACTTCTTGAATAGCTGCTTCAGCCGTGACGGTACCGCCGCTGGATCCAACCACAGCGTCTATCTTGGGCGCGAGTTGTATGCCAGCTTCATACAGTAGCGGTGTCAATGCCATGCTCGCGACAACGGTAGTAGTGAGAAACGCGTTGATATCGTCTGGAAGAAAGCCAAGCTTATTGGCGAGCGCAAATAGCACGAAAGCAAACTCGCCACCCTGGCCAAGAAGCAAACCCACTCTCACCGACTCTGCCAGGGACAGACCGAACGGTAGACCAATAAGGGTACAGATAGCGGTCTTCCAAAAGATGAGCGAGCCGATAAGAAAGGCGACCTGCCCCGGCTCGGTAAAGAACAAGGACACGTCCAGCGACATGCCCGTGGTGACAAAAAAAAGGCCGAGAAACAGGCCACGGAAAGGCTCGAGATCGACCTTGATTCTCGAACGGAAGGAAGACTCTGCGAGTAGGACGCCGGCGAGAAACGATCCCATGGTCATAGACAAGCCAAGCTCCTCCGTCAGCAGGGCGGTTCCCAAGACAGTGAGCAGGACGGCCGAAGTGAAGGCCTCCGCGGACTTGCTCTCGGCGACCATGTTGAAGACGCGCTTGAGTATTGCGCCGCCCGCAAGCACGACAACATTGAGTGTGCCCAGAACGGCGACAATATGCTTTGCCCCTTCCGTAAGTGCATTGAGCATATCGCCCCCCATATCAGCCGGGTTGAGACTCGAGGTGGAGCCAAGCAAGGGAACGAGGACGAGCAGCGGGACGACGGCGATGTCTTGAAAGAGCAAAATGCCAAACGTGGCAACGCCCGCGCGGCTCTGCCTCTCACCCTTCTCCGCAAGAATCTGCAAAATAAAAGCCGACGAGGACAAACTCAAGGCCGAGCCGACAACGGCACTTTCCGCAACCCCTCCGCCCATAGCATATGCACCCAAACCAAGCACGGCTGCCGTGGCGGTGACCTGGAGGACGCCCATGCCAAAGGCGTACTTTCTGAGCTTGCGGAGCCTGTCCAGCGAGAGCTCGAGCCCCATTTCGAATAACAAAAAGAGGACGCCAAAATCTGCAATCTCACGAATATCTTCCACATCCTTCACCAAACGCAGGCCATGCGGGCCTAAGACGACGCCCGACAGCAGAAAGCCGAGAATTGGGGAGAGGTTGAGCCTGCGAAAGATGGGAATGACAAGCGTGGTGGCGGCCAGAAACTCGAGGACCTCCGCAAACCTCGCCGAGAAGGCGGGGTCGGCGGCCAGCTCCGCGACCGCGACGGGCTCCAGTCTCCTTGTGCGGGCCCCCTTCCGAAGGGGCGGGGCGGAGCGGGCGGCAAGCGGTGCGGCAAAGAAGGGGCGGCGGACGGGCAGCGTGCCTCTGGCGGTAGGGCGCGGCCGCTTAGCGACGGCCGGGGCACCCGTGGCGCGGACAGCGGCGGGAAGGACGGGGGCGAGGAAGGCCATGCCAGGGCGACGGTTGAGTTGACGGGCGGGGGTGGGGAGCAGTGGAGGGAGGGAGCACGGGGGGGGGGGTGGGGGGGGGAGAGGCGGAGGCGGAGAGGCGGAGGCGGAGATATCTACCCTTCGCAATACGGGAAACTGCAGGGGTGACTGGGAGCCTTCGAAGGGTTGGGCGCGGGCGCGCGCGCAAGGCGGGGGGGTGAGCACGCGATCTTGCGGTGCGCACGTGGCCGCGCGCGGTTGGCCGACACTCCCAAATATCTCGCGGGGCTCGATTCTTCAGCCGGGGGCAGCAACGGCGCACCCTCCACATCCGGCACACATCTGGCACGGCTCCCCTCGTGTGCCCTGGCAGAGACGACGATGATGCGCGGCGGCAAGCAGACGGGCACGGCGTTCGCGGTGGGCGGGGTGACGGGCGCGCGGGTGCGCGCGGGCGTGAGGCGCGCGGGCGTGAGGCGCGGCGCGGGGGCCGCGCGGCTGGCGGTGGGCGCGCCGCGCCGCGCGCGGAGACGGGTGCGCGCGGGGGCCGTGGGCGGCGCGGCACGGATGATGGACGAGCGGCCGGGCGGCGGGGCGGAGGGCCCGGACGGCGCGGAGAAACGCGAGGAGGCCGAGAGGGACGCGACAAGACAGAGGGTGGAGAGCATTACCGGGACGACCATGGCCGAGATTGACGAGCTGGCGGAGGAGTGGATCGGGGCCGACTTGGGGAGGTGGGAGTGGTATGAGCGGGTCAAGGCGCGGAGGGAGCGCATGATGAAGGCTGGGCGGGTGAACGAGGACAAGTTTGATGAGGAGTTGGAGGAGCTGAAAAGGACGTTTATGGAGATTGACGCGCTGTTTGGGACGGGGATGCTGAATGAGAGGAGTGAGATTAGCGCGTCCGGGTGGGGGACGGTGACGGTGATTACGTTGATGTATATATGTGCTGGGTTTTGGGCGATTGAGCTTGTGGTACGGTTTATTACTAGCCTCAAGCCGGGATTTCCCTAGGTGCTTGACCACTAGACTTTATTTAGGCATGCTTCTCGTGCAAGGTTGCAGTCTTGGAGCAGGGCGTAGACGGAGAGTGTTTCAATCCAGTGCAACGAGACTCTCTGCCGTTGACGGAAGGGGGTAAACTTTATCTAGATACAAGGTGCCGCTCGGTTGGGCATGCTTTTGGTATCCGCGTAACATGTTATACGGAAGGCATCTGGGCGTCGGGAACCTATCTACGTTCCCCTCTACGTTCCCAAGAGGTTGCCTACGAGGGCAATCTCGGGGGCGATCTCAAAATTATTTTCTCTCATCCCGCGTCTCCCCGCAGCCGCAAAACAACCAATAACCGGCCCCCAATTCACTCATCTCCGTCAACATAACATCATCTTCCGCACTTCATCTAACCCCTCCATCCCCACCCACTCCATCAACCTCCCCCCCACCTCTAACCCACGCCACTTCCCCGATGGCATCGCCGCCTCCCCCCGCCTTTGCCCTAGCGGCCCTGCCGACCTCCTCTGCCCCCTCCTCCGCCTTCTTCGCCCCTCCGCTTACTACCTCCCGTCCAACCTCCCGACCCCATTCCGCAACCCGTCACACAATACGCGCGGTCCACCCTCCCAACAAAGCCCCTCCGCCCGCCTCTTCCACGGCGTCGAAAGCCATAGCCGCCTTCGCCGCTGCCTCCATCCTTCTCTCTGCCCCGTCTCTCCCGCCAGCCGCCCACGCCCCCTTCGTCGCGCCCCCCTTCGTTGCGCCGGCGCACGCCGCACGCGGCGCCAAGGGCGGCGGCGCCTCCTTCCTCTCCGCCTCGGGCGACGTCAACAAGGACCCCGAAAGCCTGTTGCGCTGGTCGCTCCCCATCTCCAACAAGCCCGTCCGCGAGCTGCAGACCGAGCTCGAGGCCGCCGTCACCGACCTGCGCGGCCTCAAGTGGGCAAAGGTCGACAACCACGTCAAGGCCGCCTCGCGCTTGCTCAACAACCAGACCAACAAGATCCTCGTCGCCGTCCCCGCCGCCGCGCGCGACGACGCCTCCGCCGTCCTCGCGTCCGCGGCGGACCGCTTGCACGACGTCGAGGCCGCTGTTACGGACAAGAGCACTGACAAACTCACCAAGGCGTGCAAGGACGTCCTAGGAGACATTGGCCGCGTCGAAGAGATGATGGTCGCCAAATTTCCGTTCCAAGTCCCCGACGAGTTTTCCAATCTGCCACAGCTGAAGGGGAGAGCCACCGTGGAAATGCTCGTGAAGAAGGACGGCGACGAGCCGTTTGATATTGAAGGAACCATCTTCAAAGAGGGCAAAATGACCCTCGTCTTAGATGGATACTCAGCGCCGATATCCGCGGGGTCGTTTGTGGACCTGGTGAACAAGGGCTTCTACAACGACAACCCAGTATTTCGGTCGGATGGGTTCATCATCCAGGCTGGCAAGCCGAAGAACGGCGAGGGCTTCACGGACGCGACCGGCAAAGTGCGCTCGATCCCGCTCGAGATTTTCGCGCGCGGCGACAAGGAACCTACGTACGGCATCACGCTGGAGGAGGACGGGCGCGGCGCGCAGGGTACAGTGCTTCCATTCACGTCTTACGGCACACTCGCCATGGCGCGAGCCGAGACAGAGGCCAACACGGCGTCCAGCCAGTTTTTCTGGTTTCTGTTCGAACCCGACTTGACGCCGGCCGGTAGGAATCTGATGGACGGCAATTGGGCCGTGTTTGGGTACACGACTAAGGGCGAAAACTTTCTAAAGGGGCTGCAGAAGGGCGACAGGATTGTTGAGGCTAAAGTCGTGGATGGGCTGCAAAATCTCGTCACCGCGAAATGACTGTGCGCAAGAGATGGTGTAGAGCAGATGCTATATTCTGGGGGCACGTTACGTACACGGTGTTTCCGGAGCTTCTCCACCTCGTCATTCCAAGCCGTCTTATCCCTCAATAACGTATCTGTCACCGCGTACTGGTGCATGTGCATGCGCCAGTTTCGGGGGAGTATAGATGAGCCGTCTTGTGCAAGCAAAGCGTGGCTCTTGTTTCTAATCCGACTGCAAGCGCATTGAACCGGGCAAAGCAGGCCGCATCTAGTCGCTGACGTGCGCGGTGCTTTCCCAATAGACAGCGCTCCTAGACGCCGAAGCGCGTATACCTTGTTGTCGCACGTACATACAAATCTCGCCCACCTCTTTCATGCGTCTACCATACTATTCCACACAGACTCTTTGAGAGTTCACTGCGGACAGAATTTGGTGGATGAGGGGCCCTTGGCATTAAAATTCACAGCAGAGAAAATACCCAATTTGCGGTAGAATGGCACAAAACGACGACGATACCTCCCCACCTCAAACCCCGCTTTGCCGCCCGACACACCCTCCCACCAACACGCAGCATAATTCCCGTCTCCATTTCCACACTCCACCGCTTCCACTCCTCGACAGCTGCAACACCGTCTACCCCTACCGCAACGCAGAAAAGTTTCTCCGCAAAGCGCTCCCGACAGACATGCTCAGAAAGCGCGGTCGGTCCGACCGCCCGCCTCCCGACCAACAAGAGCCCAACCAGCCGTCCTCCTCGCACGCCTCCTCCTCCACGGCCGTCCCTCTGGACCCTCCCCCCGAGCTCATCCGCTTCGAAACGGGCAACCCCGAGACGGGGTCCACCACCACGGGCGCCCTGCGTGTCCGCTCGCTCTCCGGCTCCTCGTCCACGCTGCTTGTCGAGTCCGTCCCGGGTCTCATGACGTCGGCCGACTTCTGCATGTTTGTCCGCCCCTTCGCCGACGCCACCCTCCACTTCCGCCCACTGCGCCTCTTGACGGAGCGCAACCGCTACGTCGTCGTCATGCACCTGCGCTCCCTCGACGACGCCGCTAACTTCGCCCGCGTCTTCCAGGGAAAGCTCTTCCTGCGCGGCCTGGTGCAGGAGGCCTGCGCCATCAGAGAGGTGGCGTCCATCGAATTTGACACCGGGGGGAAGTTTCCCAACGGTGCCATGTTTCCGGAAACCACTGCGGAAACACGCCCGGCGTGCGCCGTGTGTTTGGATAAGCTGGATGAGCGCGGCGCGGCCCTCGTCACGACGTTTTGTAATCACACCATGCACGCCGCCTGCCTGGCCAAGTGGGATTTGAACAGCTGCCCGGTCTGTCGCCACACGCACGAGCTCACGCCCGAGGCGTCAACGTGCATGAACTGCAACCATAGGGAGGATTTGTGGATGTGCGTCGTGTGCGCGTACGTGGGGTGCGGCGTGTATAAGAAAAAGCACGCGCACCAGCACTTTGCGGAGACACAACATCCGTTTGCAATGAATTTAGAGGACACGACGTTTTGGAGCGGGGAGAAGTTGCGCGCAGGCTCGGTGTGGGATTATGTTTCCGACCGATTTGTCAATCGCCTGCTGACGAGTGATGACGGTAAGATTGTCGAGGTGACGTACGATGAGCGACCGGACGCGGCGGCGTCTGCGTCCGGGAGCGCGCAGCAACAGAGTTGTTGCGGGACAGGCCGGGGGGAGGACGATGTGGAGAATGACCGCGGGCTGCAAGCGGCGGTATATGCGAGTCGGATGGATGCGGTGGTGGACGATTACCGCAGAAGGCTGGAGAGGATGGAGGCGGAGCACGCGGCAGAGCGGGAGCAGCTTCGCGGGGAGATCGCGGGGCTGAAGGCGGAAGTTGGGGAGGCAGGGAAGGAGCGGAAGCAGATGAACAAGAAAGTGGGCGATGCGGAGAAGGAGGCGGGCGTGTTGAGAGACAAGAATGGGTTTCTCAAAAACTTGACAGAGACGTTATTGAGGGATAAGACGGCTTGGAATGACGCGGTGGAGAAGCTCAAGATGCAGCTGGAGGAGTCGGAGGCGGCGCGCACGGGGCTTGAGGAGCAGCTTCGCGACTTGATGATGCATCTCGAGGCACAGGCGAAGATTGCGGGCGCTTCGGACTCTTGCAGGTCCAACGCGTCCGAATTGATCGGGGGCGATGTGTTGCGTGTTGGGCCGTCGCCGAGAGAACGGCTTGCTATGAAGACACATCGGAGAGTTTCGGGAGAGTAGGCTCCGGACGTCGGAACGGGACGTGGGGTAAAACACAAAAAGGCTTGAGGTATAAGTTTATTGCACAAGTAGAATATTTATACAATCACCAAGACAACACAATAAACCCGTCTCCTCTCCCCATGCAAGCCACGAACACCGATTCCCATCACCTACGAAGGCATCAAGCACACTCGCAGACATCACTACACCACGCTAATTGTCGTTCTCAAACTGGCCGTACTGCTTCTCATACGCGTCATCAAAGTGGTTCATCTCAAGCTTGATGCCCTCGGACCTAGGGAAGCCGGAGCACGTAAGCACGTAGCCCTGGTCCTTCAGATCGTCTGTGATGGACGCGGCGCCGAGGTCGACGTCGCCCGCGAGGATCTTCGCGGCGCACGTCATGCACACGCCGGCGCGGCACGAGTACAGCACCTCCAGGCCGAATTCCTCGATCCCCTCCAGCAGGGTTAGGTCCTCGTCGATCGGAATCATGTGCGTCTCCCCGTACAGCTGAATCTCTACGTCGTACACCCGCATCGCCGGCGTCGCGCGCCGCGCCGCGCGAGCGCGCGCGCGCGGCCGTTGCGACACTGACACTCTCTGCAGACCCCGCAGCCCCAGCGAAGGCGCTAGCGGGATGAAGGCGGCCGTCTTTGATCCCGTCATTGAGGAAGGGTGCAGTTTGGAGGGTAGACGTGGATGGGGGTGAGGGTGGGGGGGGGGGGGGGCGGGAAAGGGAAAGAGCGGCGAGGTTTGACCAAAACGAAATCCGATGGGCCGCA